CGTTCAGATTTCATAAACAATTTAGTGTTATCGAGACGTAAAGATACAATGCTTGTATAAAAATAATTTTTTTTTACAGAAGAGCTATAAATGTTTTACAAAAGAAGATGTTTTGAGATACTTTTAAAAGTCTGATGGAAGGAAAGTAAAATAACTTCGTTCACGTCTATTCATTATTTCTGATCATTAGTTGTTTGTCTCAGAAATAAAATCTGGCTGGGTTATTGAAATTAAAAAATAATTACCTGTTTACCTGTTTACCTGTTTACCATGCAGTAATTGTTGGATTTTGTTAATTTTGTTGAAGATAATAATACGTTGATATGTAAATAAAATTAAAGGTATTGTTGAACTAAAAATAATGCCATAAACCGGACCCCAAATAAACGAGTCAAAAATGACAACCGTTCAAAGATTTCTTGAATTTTCCATATTGAATCTTTAAACGGCTCCATTATTTACTCAGTTGTTCTTTTGGGGTACAATTTATGGCATTGTGTTCTACTAATAAATACCTTTAATTTTATGAGCATATCGTTTATGATTTTCGTTACGCAATCATAGGTTTGTCGTAATAAGTATGAATACGTTCGTAATTTTCTTCCATATTTTTGTCATATAGCCCTGAGGAGTTAGCGTATAATAGAACTGCAAATTCAATTAATCTTTGAACAGCTGTCATTTTTGACGTAATTATCTATTTTAGGTTTGCGGCATTGTTTTAGTCCAACAAGACAATTAATTTGATGTGCTTATAAACCTATGCCTACCTTCAAGATTTTTAACTTACACTCTATGGGCCATCCCTTATAGTTGACATCTGATCACCATGTACACAAAAATTAGCTTACTATTATCCGTAATGGTATGCCAAATTTGGTTGAGATATCTCTATTCTCTTTAAAGTTATAAAATCATTCTAAGGATTAATTAATTGTCACTCTGTGTATTTATTTGTCGCATCGTCTGTATATTATACAAAAATTATTCCTGAATCTTTCACCCGATCACCCTGAAAATTGTGCCACAAGTGGGGTAATTTATCCATTATCTTACCCTCCGATGTAACATCTTGATAATTTTAGAATGATTATTGTATTCGCTATCAATTTAATCAATATTCTTCCCTTTATTATATTTTTGTTGTGGTCGTTTAAGGGATTTCTTTGTTTTAGGGTTAAATACTTGATATTATTTACTAAAGATTTGTGTTGAGAATATTAACTATTAACTGTCAACTATTCAGTCATGATATTTAGATTCTTAATAATTTAAAATACGAACATGTCCTTAAAACACTCAAAAGGCAAACACGTAGTACAAAGCTATCGTGAAAGAGGTAGGCATCTTTCCATTGTGATTTTTTTTTAAGTCACGACCCAATTACTTCTTGTTCAATCTTTCCTAAATGCTGGCATAGTTACAAATCTATTTATCATTGGATCTTTTGACAATAAACTTCAACATGCTTAATGTCTTTACAACATTCGAGTTTGAGTATAGGGAGCTTACTTGAGTAACAAAACAAAACTTATCATGGAAAAATCCGAAAAAAATGAAGCAACTGAGCAAAGTGCATTGGATGGAAAAGCTATAAGTAAGTACTCACATAAACCATACAAACTAAGGGTTATATTGTCAAGAGACAACGCGTATAAATGTTAAAGTTCTTGAATTTTATCCCGGAGCTCAAGAGCCCCTTTGATCCGGCCGTGTGGAAAGTCAAGTACCTTATAACTTCCACCAGCTTAAGCCGCTTTATTTTCACTTTCCGTCATAGCTTTGTCCTTAGGCTTGGACGTTAAAATGTCATTAGTAATCACTTGTACTCGTACTAAAGCACTTGAACAAATCATCTAGAATGCTGATTATTCTAAATAGGAGGAATATCGAACTAAGTATTGATAAAAACGTTTCCAACTGAATGTCTTAAGGTAAATTTGTTCAACACTATTATACTGTCTCCAATACACAATACAGGCTACTATAAATGGGAATTCTTTAGCTGCAGGATCAGCTGTGCTATTCCGGTTACTGACACAATATGTTATTTTATGAAATATATAATTTAAAATTCCAAAGTACAAAATTAATTTCGGAAACTTTACTTGTTGGATCTTTATTGTAATGTAAGTATACCACCATTAAAAAATGTTCAAAATTTTTCCTTACTTAAATTTTATGTTCAAACATTATATAGAACTTAACGTATACTACCACGGTTACAATACATGAAATGATTTTCATAGTTTCCAAGTGCAAATAATGTTATCGTCGCTAACTCTATTTGTAAATAATTAAACAACGTTTTACAAAAGTTATTCATTAAATAATTAGAGAAACTCTATTAAATATTGATATGACTAGTAGTAATTTAATTTAAAAATGCAAAACATTAAAATTGCCATATTAAAAGTTTTATTGTGTAACTAAACAATAAACTAATAAAAAAATGGGTGCTTTATTTTTTTTTAATAAAGAAAAATAAACGCAAAGGTTTATTTTTAAGCAAGTAGGTTTATAAAAAAAAACTGGTACTGTATAAAATAATACCAGGGTAAATGTTTAATTTTTTTTTATTTGCACAATGTTGTTCTGATAGTTTAAAATACCATTGTTATAAGAAAATATATTACTACTTAATTAACTAAAACATTTAATAATTTTACACTTTATTATGCTTATATATATCCATAATATTTATTATTACCCTGCCACATGTTATGCAATTTACTTAGTAAAAAATCATGATAATTCAGAACGTAAGTAAGTTCGTAAGTTCAACAGTAAGTATGTGTATATGATATTTTGTCCAACTAAATATTAATTTATTGTGTATTTCCAAATATACCTTAAACACAAATAAAATATAACAAAAAGAAAACTAATCAATGAGTAAAGCGAGGGTGTGGTTGCGATGGGCAGTCAGGCGTGCTAAGAATCTCTCATTCTCGTTACAAATTCCACAGACACTTTCTCTTGTTAGTTTCTTGTTCCTTCTTTTGAGCGAAAAACGCTTTCACCTACGTGAGACAACACTTCATGACTAAGGTTTACCTTGCTCCTGATCACAAAATAATAGCAAGAATGAGAATATTTTAATTTATATTAATAATTGAAAATTAAATATCATTTGAAAATTATGAACCCTAATAATTCTTAATAGTATAAAGTTGTATATTCAGTCGAATTAATAAAATGCTTTAATATGCAAATATTTTTAAGCTATTGATCCCGATGATTCCTATATTTATCATCGAAAACGATTGGAAAACATATTTTATAGTACGTTTTCAGTATTTAAATATTGAGAGATTAAAAAGTCTATCTATTTATATTACCCAATCATAACAAAAACCCGTAGTCCTAACAACATAATTAATTATCGTCATTGAGTAACAACACCAAACTTGTATGATATTGGTTTTTTCCTTTAAATTACTACTTTGCCATATTTAAAAAAAAAAATATTTACAAAATCATTTAATGAATATTTAATATAATTAATTGTATGTGCTTTGATTTTGTTTTACTAAAAATAATGATAATAATACCAGGATAATGTTTTCTATAAGAATCAAGATATATGGCGTTTAAATTTAACACGTAAGGTACTAATTCATTTATATGAAAGTACCATACCTCAAGTAACACATATATAAATATAGTCAAACATATTATGGACATAAATCTAAATATGCTCTTTCACTTTCCGACCACAAAAAGGTATTCCTACATATTACGAACTAAGTAATACTCATTACTCTCATGTTTAAAAGCTTAAACCTGAAGATACAACAGTTTCATTTGACAAATAGCAAAATTCAGTAGCAGCATTTTAGGTTTTTCTTAAAGAAATACTTCCGTAGAAGATGAATAAAAGTGTCAAACAGAGATCCAAATTGTTCAGCTTGGGGAATAGGGCATTGACGTCAACCCCGGAGTGCTTTCAGCTACATTTCACAATCTGGTAATCTTGTGCAAAGTGCGGCGAAGACGCTTGATTCAGCCCCTTTTTAATTTAGCAAATGTAAATTCTACTTTGACTGGATTAAAGTTCACGATCGCACTTTCGCTTGTGCTCTCGCTTTTACTCTAGAAAAGTAATTTTGGATAGGTAAAAGCAAGTGTTTTTATTTTACAAAGAAGTATATTTTGTTTTATTTTAAAAATTTAAGCAAGTTTGGTATTTGAAAGAAAGTTTTGTAGGCATGGATACAGATGAAATATTAATTTGAAATAGTAAAATATGTTTTTTTTTAACCCCCAAAAAATATTTAAGTTTCAAAATACACTTTGAAAGGTCCCACTTTGTCCCTTACAATACGCTTCAAACTGATTATTTTAGATTATGAAATTTTTTCATGTTTATTGTACGTATAAAAATGTTTTCTTTCACATAAATCGCTAAAAATTACAGGTATGTTTTGAATGAAAAAATTAAAATATTTTTACATGTCATAAGTATTGTTGTGTTGGTTTCTGTGTAAGACTAACTATTTATAGGTGTGTCTACTTATCTGTACAAACTTATTTTATATTTATCACTCTTAAACATGAAAATTTTCCAATACAAACAATGATCTTACGAGGAAAATTATTGTTCTTCGCCCATATTTTAAGTCATGTTAAATTAAATACTTAACGTAACAAAATCCTAAAAAGTACTCATTTTTAATATTCATAAAATTTACTGATTGCTACAAATGATTATGTTATAGCTTATTAATTTAATTTTTCAAGTATTGTCTCACAATCGTGTGCGTTTAAAAGTTTTTTTATATCTTATTTTCTTAACAATGCATCTGTATGGATATAATATTCTACTTTCACCCAAAAACTCTTCAATTCAAACATTTAAGAAAAAATTTTACCGGTAACCTTTTGAACTATAGTAATAAACTCCTACTTTCAAAAACACTTCAAACAGCATTTACTTAATTAATTTCAACAACCCTTACAAACTATAAAAAAATTATTTTAAACAATAAAAATCCTACCTGGATTTTGAGGTAAATCCAAATTTATCACTGTTCAAACGGAAATGTGCACGAACTTGAGTAAGGCCGATGTACACTGCACACCGCCCGGTCTAGTACTGGCCTACCCGTCGCCTTGCGCACAAAACCCCCTTCCACCCCCAACCCTTACGCCCTTCGCTCGATATTTATAATTACTGTTATCACAAACGTGGCAAAAATCGCAATCTAATTGTCCAGATGTGACTTGGTGGCAAAAACGGACCCGCTTTTATTGGAATCTCGGTAATTGCGGGTAATTTTTCATCCTAATAGCCGTGAGAAGCCGTAACACGGTGTGCAATTTAACTTTTCAATTTGCAGCGTGAAGGTGAAAAATATGTGATTTTTGTAGTTTTTCGTATTTCATAGTTTTTTGTGTTTGTTAATGTGGGTGTGCGTGGACGATAAACATATTAATGAACCAAATACACCTTGGAAGGGTGTAACAGTAATCGAAGAGTTAGGATTTCCATCAATAACAAATCGATTAATTACTTATGTATCAAAGTTCATATAAAATCTATTGATGTGCAATCATTTATTTGTTTCTCAACTTAAATTTTAAACAATATGTTTTTACAATAAGTATACTATTCATAATAATAGGTGTTTATTAACTATAGGGTTTAGATTTAAAAGTAAAATTTTAGTTTTAAGTGAGGGAGCCCATAATGAGTATATATTATTATGACTTCTTTATTAGGGACTCGAACTTGATGAGATTAATTTAGTTCTGAGCAGAAAGCAATTATAATAATTTTAAACAATTGCAGTTGTAATAGAGAGCATTTGTGAAATAAGAATAACACTCAATATACGTTATTTGGATCCTTTGTTTTTCGTTTAGTTAAACCAGTATATAGGCGTATGCAATTTAATATGAAACCATTTAATTTAATTATTATATAATTTAATTTTAATTTATAAACCTAACTGAAATTCTTTAAGCAAAATAACAGAATTTTCGAAAAATAATCAGTAACGTAATTTCCCTTCAATTTCTACGCTTAAAACAATAAAACAATTTTACTTGTGCAATTCTTCTAACGATAAACCGATAAAAATTTGTATCAAGATTAAATAGGCACGTTTATGTTATTGAATTGTAGCTTATAACTCTATATAGAGCTTATTAAGCCCTGAAATGCTTCACAAAATTTTAAATGTACATTATAGGCCAGTAAAATTAGTTAAAAAATTGGCTGTGCCTGGAAATAATTCTCGGAAAGCTGGAAATCGTTTTAATCCTTTTGTTTTATATAGAAGTAAAAGGATTTGAAGTTTGTCCCATTTTTCTAGGTGAGCTTCTGACCTGGGACCACAAAAACCTTGAAATTTAGGGTCGTTTTTTAGTTATTATTAAAACGTCAAAGAACCGTCCAGCCTACAGAAAAACACATGGTAAAGGAATTGTAGAGCATAAAATTCCGCATCCATTGAGTATCTGGTGATGAATATCAAACCAATATTAAGTTATTTATAGTAATTTAAATAAAGTTATTTTATTAAGAAATTATTGAACATTGCATATTTAACATTTTTATTTCTTCTAGAAAATGGATTCCAAGTACATTATTATTTACAAAGTAATTAATACGAATTACAAATACCCTCGCCGCAGCAAACCTGCAGACTAAGTGATTTTCCATTTACCTGGCTGGATTTATACTAAAATATTCCCTAAAAATTATCAGATTTATTCCCTATTTAATTAACATTAATTTTAGTGACTAAAACTAAATTGGGTATATTTACAATTTTTTAAATTATACCCGTAACCGTTGGGCATACAACAAGGATTTTGATGAAATTTTGTAGACACGTGTAAACCTACATTTATTCTAATGAGTTCACGAACCATCATAATCGTTCTATGGGAGCGGGGGTTTGTGGGGTTTTTTATGGGGTAAAAATAGATTTTCCCATTTTTGACCCCAAAAGCACAACATTTCATAATTTCTCTCCAAACCATTTTGTAGAGCTTAAACAAATAAATAATTTATTTGTATACTGACGCGTTGTTGTATGCCCAACGGTTACGGGGATAATTTAAAAAAAATTTAATTTAAATTCCCATGTTATTCTTATGGAGAATAAATAAACTGTTGTACTTTGCTTGTTTATGGGTATATTTAAACCAAATTTGGAAATTTTGTTTATTTAATACTAAGCTATCGACATTGCAATAAAAAACACATCTCAATATCTTCCCTGTAGCAGCAAACCTAAGTAGTCACTAAAATTAATGTTAATTAATAGGAAATAAATCTGACAATTTTTAGGGAATATTTTAGTACAAATCTAGCCAGGTAAATGGAAAATCACTTAGTCTGCAGGTTCGCTGTGGCGAGGGTATTTGTAATTCGTTTTAATTGCTTTGTAAATAATAATGTACTTGGAATATATTTTCTAGAAGAAATAAAAATGTTAAATATGCAATGTTCAATAATTTCTTAATAAAATACCTTTATTTAAATTACTATTGATAACTTAATATTGGTTCGATATTCATCACTAGATACTCAATGGATGCGGAATTTTATACTCTACAATTCCATTATTACGTGTTTTTCTGTAGGCTGGACGGTTCTTTAACGTTTTAGTAAAAACTAAAAAGAAAACCCAAAATTTCAAGATTATTGTGGTCCCAGGTCAGATGCTCACCTGGAAAAATGGGACTAACTTCAAATCCTTTTACTTCTATATAAAACAAAAGGATTAAACCGATTTCCAGCTTTCCGAGAATTATTTCCGGGCAAAAACCTATTTTTACTGGCCTATTAATGTAAGTGAAGACGAAGTTTTTGAAACAAGTTTCCAATCTCGGTATGGGTTATAAAACGTGCAACACGGTGGGATCTTTACACGAATCAGCGTAAGCGGTTCCGTTAACAGGCCATAAAAGCTTTTATCGCGCAAGATGTTTATCAGAAGGTGTGTCGCTGCACAAAGAAAGTGAAATTAATGGAAGGCGATAAGAGCCATTAAGCACTCAAAATTGCTGGGTAGTAGAGATTGTGTGAATATACTGCCTGTTGTGGCTGCACTGTTGAGTCTTTGAATGGTAAAATGTATTTAGTTATTTTTACGCAAAGTTACATAAGGCCTATTCATCTAGTAGTACATAGTCTACACATGTTAATCCACACTATTGGAATTTTTTACGTTTTTACAAGTGAGGAGTCCCTTTTTGGTGCTATCTAACAACAATCTTTTGGATAAGTAGCATAAAAAAAAAAACAATTTCAAGTAGCATCGAAATAATATAAACAAAAACTAACCCCCTTTATTATTTTCAATCGTATTTAGAATATAACCAGGCCTAGTGACCTACAGTACATTCTTTATGGCGAGAGTAATAATCACTTTGCTTAGACAATTTTCCGGTAAGCATATTACTCGTACAAGTAGTATAGAATACGAGATTTAAACGAGAGAAAATGAAAAAGATATGTAATATAGCTCTATATAAAATTTTAATAGATTGCCAATTTATGAGATATAACAAAAAAACTTCTATATTAACGTAGCATGTGTATTTACAAATCATCATGGTTCTGTAACGGTACGTATTTCTCCTTGAAATACCTACTGCTACTTTGGGTGCAAAGCTCAGGAATGAAACTCAGCACTCGCTTACAAAACCCAAACTTTATTAAAACCCAAAACAACACAAAGAACACAAAGATTAAAATTAAATAAAAAGGTAGAGCAGACTGGAACTGTAATCATTTAGTTAGAAACTGAAACCCCGATTTGGAAAAGACTCTAAACCCCAATTTTGAAAACCCTTAACATTTTCTTACCTGGACCCAAGGGCCTTGGGCTCCAGCTCCCCCAGTAGGACCCTGTCCTCCGGAGCACCACACTCACCACTACACACTAAACTGACCTCCTGATCAAGTGCTCTGGCCTACTTAAAGTAACAGCCTTCAGTAGGTCAGCACAACAAGCTGTTGTTTAACAACACTTCCAGCCTACTCGCACAACATTTCCAAACACCTCCTCTTTACAATATTTGACCCCATCCATTACAGTTCTCGGCGTCAACCATTGGAGGCTGCAGCCATATGTTTCGATGTTTCTCTGAAGAGACATCCTCAGTGGCTTTTACATTGTCGTATCATGGCTTCTTGAATTAGTGGGACAATTCATTGGTTCAGGATAATACATGAATTAGTTATGCCTATCATAACCCTTATGTGGATTTTCACCGCCCTTTTTCCTTGTGTAGCGTCTTTCTGCGACTAATATTTTGTAAGATAGTTAACATATTTTATTTACAAAATAAAATTTATATTTCAGTACTGCTATGTATGAAGTGAGAAATTACAAAGTAGCATATACCACGAAAATCTACGCTTAAATATTCGGTGGTATTAATTTCAAGAACTATTTTTTTGACTTTCAAAGTGCGAAAAATATTTAAAAGTTAATATTTGTAGCAAAAGAAGGACTAGGTTAGAACAACTCGTATCTCCATTTCCTTATACGAATGATCCACCTTAGTGTCTAGGGACTACGCCAGCACCAGTTTTGCTACACATTGTTCAATTATATTATCAAACTACTCTTGTTGATCTTTCATTTAACTCCTCGGCAGTACAAGAGCAATATCCAGCTATTCCTACCTATCAGTTTTCAATTTTTTTCTGCAGATACTATTTTGCTATACATAGGTAACTTGTAAACCACTTCTTATATTTTTAATAACGCAATTTTTTTCAATCACAAATAAATCTATTCATTACTCGTAAATATTACAAAATTTTATTTTAATGGTACCTTATTGTAATAAAAAAAGAATGAATTGAACCGTAAAAGTAAGGAAAACTAAGTTATTGTACGCTTCCATTTTCTACAGCTGGGAAATAAAGTGTTTGATGTGGTCAGTAGTGGTTGATATCTCGTGGGAAATCATGAGGAAATGTTGCACTTAGGCAGAACCAAGGAATTCGTCATCCAGCGTTTGCCTTGAAAAAGGCCTCAAGATACTTGAAGTGAGTGTTGTTAAGGTTTCTTTTATACTTTTAAAATAAATCAAATCTTTACTTTCAAGGCTTTGTAA